ATATAATGCCAGAACATTAAATGATATATTAAATAGTTAAAGAAAAACATTGTTTTCAACAATACCTGGGATAAATTGTGTTTGTAGAACTGTGTTCTATGATCAATTATAACCTTTTACTAAATCTTAAATGCCAGAGTTGAGATATAAATTGCTCCTACTACAATTCTAAATTTTGAAGACATGTTATTTATTGTCTTACATCTTACCGATCCTTTTTTCTCAAATGGTAATGAACGATCAGACACAGGTATTTCATTTACAAAGCATGCAGATAATCGTAAGTCAGGATATCACACTCCCACTCTTGGTTGTTTCTTCAAGGCGAGCTTTTCTAGGTTATGAGAAGTGCACTTTTAAATTAAGTCAATTACACTGTAGCTTCTAGTTAAGCTTTGAGACTGGAATAGTATATTTAAAAATTTGTCTCCTTGTTAAATAGGTACCATGACAGTGTTTGTGTAGTGTATTGTTAACCTCCAGTGGAAGGTTAAGCGGCTTCTTCTGTATCTAAATCTGTTGCCGTGAAAAATGACTGCAGTGTTGCACCCACCTACCCATGAATAGGGGAAGCAAAGACTTGCACCTGTGGGATTAGGTGTAGCAGCAGGAAGCAAGAGCGTTTGCAGCATATAATTAACAAGGATTTTTTTTCTCTTTTTTTTAAAACAGCATGTTCATCTTGCTAGGTTAACTAGTGATTAACGCTTGAAAAAAAATGCTGGAGTCTTCAGTCTTTCTTAAACTCATTCACTCACTGATGTATTTGGTTACTTACACAGTGTCAGAGGAACTCACCTTAAAATACTTTATTTCCTCCCATAGTTCTTGATTCCTTTATGTTCACGGGAGAATTTTTTTGGATTTTTGTGTTTTTTTACTATAACTTTTCTAGACAAATTCTATTATTTTCTGAATGAAATTAAAATAATTTAGGAACTGCTATTTTGATTTAGAGATTACTATTTTAATAAACAAGATGGAAGAGTTAGTGTGTAGTGAACTGAGGATCCTGGAGATCTAAATGGGAGTATGGAAAAAAAAATTACTTTGAAATGATATTTAATACATAGAGTACTTACTGTATGGTTTTTGTTATTTTTTCTCATATTAAGAAAGCTATAATTACCAATTTAGAAGAGATTTCTAAATATAGCTCTCTAGAATATAATATTCTTAATTAAAACTAATCCAAATCCACAGTTGTTGAAGTTTAACTATATCAAAGGTCACTCCTTTGATATAGTTAATAGTCATACATTTGTATCAGAATGTATAGTTATAGGTTGTCTTTACAATGCAATCATATGCATTGTTTTCATTTACACACCAAAAAAAAAAAAAAAAAACACAAAAATGTACTAGCATGCTTAGTTGTTTGTTTTTTTTTTTTTCCACTAAACTTCCTTTTCTAATAAGATAACACTAAATAATGGAATTAGATGCAGTGACTTTCAGTGTGTAAATTTTACTGCTGTAATAAAACAGAGTCTTACCACATGGGAGCACTGAACCAGTGATAATGTGTTCTATCCAAACACATTTGTACTGTATGTAGAAACTGTTTAAAAGGAAAATTACATCTTTTTCAACAATTTATCAGAGATAATTACCCTTCATACACCAATTGTAGGAAAAGTGTTTTAAAGAACTATAATTCTAATTGGTAAATGTCACCAGCTGTTGCAGTTACTCTTACGTGTGTATATTCTTTTAATGATTATACTCTCATGCCACAAACTACATGAAAATATATTCACTAGGTGTGAAATTCCCATATGTCACAGTTTCAAGAATAGGTAAACAGCTCAATGATAGAGGAAGAAATAATTCCAATGAAGAATGTAAAAATCCTGGGTTTGTTTTTTAGGCAAGTGAATCTTAATTTGCCAAAAGGAGAGAAAATGCAATTTTTAAAAGAAAAGGAAACCCTTAAACTTTATTATAACAAACTTAAATTAGCTTTGTCCCATATCTTCAACCAGAGAATTTTATTTCCTTAGAAAGTTGTGGAATTGTCTCAACTTACAGATTTCATTATTATATACCTCGGATCTGCCAAATAGGTAAAAGCATTTTGTTTTCTTTCAGGCTTAAACAGTAAAGTGTTTGTTAGTTTTAGATGGTGGAAGATAAACACTTCCTGGACAGTGTTTCATGAGAGCCTATTGTTATCTTGTAAGTGATCAAGGAAACAAAAAAGAAATTACCCTAGTGTCTGTGGTGAATATTTAAAATCATTATTATTCAGTCTTCCTGGCATAACTTAGTTTCCACTGAGACTGATGGGTCTAGTAACTGGCTGCACTGAATATCTAAGCAGTGGCCCTCAAAAGATGGAAACAAAAATGGGGTTGGGGTGGGGAGAAGTAGAAGGCCGGGCGCAGTGGCTCATGCCTGTAATCCCAGCACTTTGGGAGGCTGAGGGGGCTGGATCACAAGATCAGGAGATTGAGACCATCCTGGCTAACATGGTAAAATCCTATCTCTACTAAAAATACAGAAAGTTGTCCAGGCATGGTGACTCACACCTGTAGTCCCAGTTCCTCAGGAGGCTGAGGCAGGAGAGTCGCTTGAGCCTGGGAGGCTGAGGTTGCAGTGAGCTGAGATTGTGCCATTGCACTCCAGCTTGGATAACAGAGCCATATTCTATTTCAAAGAAAAAAAAAAGTGAACACAAGCCTCTCATTTGTCTGTTCTTCAACTCCCAGTTCACCTGGGCTGTACCCAACTTCTTTGGTATTATGTACATCACAGCATCACATCATCCTGTTTCCTGGTACTTGCCTGAAACTCAGATGCTGAGGTAACTTGCTATTGTGTATTGAAAATTGTTCTCATGTCATTTTTGTTCTGCAGCAGTAGGTTTGCTGAATGTTCTCATTTTCAGTGTTTTGGCAAAGTTCGAGAGGCACAAAGAGAAATACATATCTTATAAGTTAGTTGCTTTTAGGTATTAATAGTTATAATCTTTGTACAAATCACCCTGCCTCTTCACTGGAAAAACTAATGTATAATCTCTGCTCTCCCAAAGAAGAAAACAATCTAACTTTTTTATTGATTATCTTTGTAACCGTTTAAACTTTTAAACATTGTTCATGAGAATTATTGAAATAATGAAGGAATGGATTTGATAAGTTGCCTCCATTAGGTTGAAAATGTGTTGCCTACGTTGTTTATGAATGCTCTTGAAGGAGAGACCCGTAAAGACATTTATATAGTTATTTCAAGCTACAGTTAATGTTGTTATGTCAGGATCATGTTGAAAGATACTTGAATTTATGTGGTATATATTTACCTTTAGACTAAATATAAGAGCAGTAAGAAATTGCAGTAATTCTTACTGCACAGAAATAACTTTGTAATAAAAAATCAAATTAATTTTTATAAATGGAGTAAGATATGTTCATTGCCTATACTATATATTGGTTAAAAGGTGGACAATTTTATTATATTATATAAAATATACCCCTCCCCCCAAAAAATGGCAAGAACTTTATTTCATTGAAGGAGAAGATGTGACCACTGTCCTAACATCACTACATGTGTACCTTGAGCTGTTTTTTCCAGCAGTGGTCATAGTTAAATGAACTGTACCGTATCCTCTTTCACCTAATTTTCTTATAATATTTACTTTTGCAAATGAGTCTGCTGACAAAGGTTATAAATGTGTTCTGTGAATATGAAATGATGCAAGGCTAACTGGCTTACTTGGGCATCAGTTCTACCTGTCTATCATTAGGTAGATGGATCTACCTAATCTAATAGATCTACCTATCTAATTCATAGCAGATCTACCTAATGATATTTATCATTTTGTTCTTACTAATGTCATACTCCAATCAATAACTCAATAAAGATTAGGAACCAACCACAGGTATAGATAACACAAGTAAGTAATCCTTTCCTAGAACTGACTTTGTAGAGTCTATAGCAAGGAGAAATTTTATTACCTCCTCTGCTATTAGAAGACACCAAATGTTAGATAACTTTAAAAAGGTATTTAATGCACATCTTTGACTCTACGTAGGAAACTAATTCATTGATACTCTTATCACATTTCTGAAAGGAAATAAATTCTTCAGATAATGTTAGTAAATATTGAGTAGAAGCAATGGACAATCCACAAGGTATTTTATATTTCACTTTGTAACATATTAAATCTTTTTCCCCAATATCTTCCTCACAATATTTTACTCAGTTTAATAAAAACAATTAGTCTGTATTCCTTGAACACTCATAGTAGTTGAGGGAGGCATCTTAAGGAAAGCTAACATTTTTGGCTTGGTTTTATTTTGTTTCATTTATTTGTTTGAGACAGAGTCTGGCTCTGCTGCCTAGGCTAGAGTGCAAAGGCACAATCATAGCTCACTGCAACCTCAACCACTCAGGCTCACGCAGTTCTCCTGCCTCAGCAGCCTGGTAGCTGGGACTACAGGTGCACAACACCACACCCAGCTAATTTTTTTTTTTTTTTTTTTTTTTGGTAGAGATGGGGTTTCACCATGTTGCCCAGGCTGGTCTTGAACTCCTGGGCCCAAGCAATTCACCTGCTTTGGTTTTTCAAAGTACTAGGATTATAGGCATGAGCCATGGCACCCAGTGCATTTTTTAAATATTATTGATTAGCCAGCCAGAAATGATGCAAAGTAAATTGTATTTGCAATTAGAGAATTATAATTACAAGTGGAAATTTTTTTGAAAAAATCATTCATTTATGCTGCTTGACATACTGGCCTTTCCAGATAGCCATTTAACAAAAAAAAGATGTCTACAGATCTACAACTGTGTATTTTCAATTTGACCTCAAGTTGTGAACATCAGTAATAAATTTTTGTTTTCTCTAATTATGGAATGTATTGAAGGTGCTCACTGTTGGTTTGGTCTTATGCTCACGTTATGACTGTAATTTTCAAATTTATTTTTCAGTGTGATTAAATAATAATTTCACAGTTGAGACCTGATGTTGTTTTGTTCCCCCTGCTTTTCTTTCACAACAGAAACCAGGAATGGATCTGGCAGACACCTATATTATGTTTGTTCGGCAAAACCAAGATATTCTTCGAGAAAAGGTCAATGAGGAAATGTATATAGAAAAGTTATTTGATGTAAGTAGCTTCCCTTGCAAGGTATGCTGGCACCATAGATAAACTACAAAGAGAAAAGTTGAATTTTGATGATATGTTTGTAAAGCAGACTCTCCTTTTTTTTTCATTCTTTATCTTCTATACTAAAAAGTTGAAGCCTTCCAGAAGCAGTGGCTCACGCCTATAATCTCAGCACTTTGGAAGGCTGAGGCAAGTGGGTCACTTAAGGTCAGGAGTTAGAAAGCAGCCTGGCCAATATGGCCAATCCCTGTCTCTACTAAAAATGCCAAAAAAAAAAAAAAAAAAAAAAAACATAGCTGGATGTGGCAGTGAATGTCTGTAATCGCAGCAACTTGGGAGACTGAGGCAGAAGAATTGCTTGAACCTGGGAGGCAAAGGTTGCCGTGAGCCAAGATTGTGCCACTGCACTCCAGCCTGGGCAACAGAGCAAGACTTTGTCTCAAAAAAATGAATAAATAAAAAATAAAAAGTTGAAGCCATTCTAGAAATAGACCATCATGGATAGATTTGTTGGTGTGTGGGCAGGGGAGCTGGTGGTGGGGTGCCTTCTGAACATCTTCAATTTTTTGTCTTGGGAACCTATTTATTGCAATTAATTTTTGCCATCAGTTTGTTATAAAGGTAGTAGTTTTTCCTCCTTGAAAATTATCCTCCATTTCCAACTCCTCTTCATTTGCAGCTAATATAGTTGATAATTTTTATACTTCTTTGACTGCTGATGGAAGCCTTAATTAGCTTCCTTTTCTACATGAAAAATATCACCAGAATTAGTCTCAAAAACCTGAGGTTTGTTATAACAAGCCAGATAATAATCATTTTACCATGGCGTTCAGCATCTTTTCACTTGCCTTTTGCAGCATTCCATAAACAGAATCCTGTTATGGAGGATGTGGTCCCTTCTATAAGATGTTTTAAGTCAGTGTGATACTCTGCAGTTAAACCAACAAATAAACTGCAGTAAAGCCAAATATCTGCCACTCCACTGTTAAACATTTTTATCTTGTTTAAAGTACTGAGGTATGCTAAAATATGCAGTAATATAGTTTTATCAGCACGAAGGTCTTCATGTAGGTATGGCAATGCCTGGAAATGAGGATCGGGGTTTTGTATACTACGATCGTCGTGTTTCATTTATTCCGTGTCTATAAAGGAGACTAAGAGAGCAGTCAATTTAAATAACCATGTTGTCATTCATTTGTAATTATCTTATAGTCAGTTCAAAGGAATTGATACTTTGCTTGTGACATAACTTTGCATAATTCATCACAATTCGGATTCCAAAATGTAATATTTGCTTTGAAGCTTATTTATTTATGTACATCTTCTCTGCATTTTAGAAATGCTTTTCTGGCAGTTTCATTTAATTATGCAAGTTACTGCAAATGTTTTCATAACAGCAATTCACGGGCTTTATGGTGACACTTCAGCTGTGGCAGTTACAGAAGGTCCCGCTATGCCATCCTCTCTGCCATGGTCTCTCGTGTCAGTGTTCCTTGTCATTTTGGGTGGTCAAAATGAATCTTATCTTGCATGCTTTATGTTTCTACCCTTTACTCAGGCCATCTTACAATAAAAAGTATCATCTGTTTTAATAAGCTAAGTGTTAATATGTGTGAAAAAAATGATTTTCCAAAAGCTTTGATGCCCTGCAGGGGTGAAAAAATTATCATTCATCCAGCTGGCTCTTTTGCAAAATACTGAAACCATATTAGCAACTTCTGCTTCTGTTTGGTATTGTTCTGAATTTACAAACATATATTTCATTTCCAAGTTCTCTTTTACTTTTCTGCTAATGTGGTGATTTTCAAAAGTGTTAAACAGAAGAGGGAAATTGAGTTGATGTTATTATGTTTCTTCTTAGAATAGCTAAAGCACATATTCTGTGATGAAAAGTTAAAGCCATTCTATAAGTAGATCATCATAGATTTGTCAAAGGGAGTGGGTGAACTTTCTGAACATCTTCAGTTTTTTGACTTGGTGACCTATTTACTGTAATCCATTCTTGCCATCAGTTTATTATAAAGGTAGAAGATTTTTTCTCCTTGAAGTTATTTACTACTTCCAACTCCTCTTCATTCACTGAAGTTCTTTGGAAGACTTTCTGTGTGGCAGTGATAACAGACAGAGGGAACTGAAGTGGCTCTAAGGAGGCCAAAATTAAAATATGACACAAGTTTTATTGTCCTGATTGTATATACTTTCATTCAGTACCTAAGCATCTGACATGGTTGTGGGTCTAAAAGGAATTCTTAATAAGTAACCATTCTGTTTTGGTTGTGAAGGTTTTATATTTTAAATATCCCCAATAGAACACTGGACTTGTTATTTGTAAAATAGTTGTAATGTCCTTAAACATTGCACATTTTTATTACTTTATTTAAAAATAAAAATAGACCCTAATTCTGTTGATTTGTCATCAAGAATAACATGTATGACGGGATACTAAGAGTCCCTAATTAGCCAAGACTGAATTTGCCTCAATTACAGTTAGAAAATGAGAGGTTATCAAGTATGTGTTGAAAGGTAAAGTAGAATGTGTATCTTAAGCAACAGATCATTACTGAGAGACATTATATAATTATTTGAAATCCACTTGGCTGTAGCTTAAAATAATATTGTTAGGTGTCGAAAAACAGTTGAAAATAATGACCCTATAAATACTGTTAGCAACCTTACTTAGCCTGTTACAGATAAAAGATTGAAGAGAACAATTTAATTCAGGCATCATGACAAACTTCTGCTATTCCAATTAGAGTATTTCCTATATAAGTAAGTAAATGGATCTTGTTAACTTCAGATGCAAATGAAAACTCACTTAAACACACATTATAATGAGTTAAAACTTAGTGATTTTAACCAACCCAGATAAGAAAACAAGGGCCACAGTTTCTGAGTGATGTAACATGAGGGCTTAAAGTCTTCAACAAATTCACTTAGTTTTAGAAATACCACATTTAACAATATTTTTATATAAAACAATTAGTCTGCAAAACGATATTCACACTGCCCCCAAGATTTTTGGAAACCATGTTTTACTAAATAATCTTTGACGGTGATGTGGCTATGTTAAAAAGTTTTTGGAACTTTCCCTGGGTGTAGGAAAGTATCCCTGACCTCTATAACTTTTTGATCATTTAAACATCTTGATTGTTCCTGATTTTTGTGGTGAAATACCCCAGGGTTTGGTTTAAATAAGGTGCTGATGCCCAAGATCAAAAACATAGCATTGCCCTAGATTTGTACCCATTGTTTTAGGAATGAGAATGATATCTGCAGGAGTTTTCAGTGTGCAACCTACGCAGACATTTACCATACAAAATCTGCTCCTGGAGCATTCTGCACTGCTGCTATCATTCCCATCTCCATTAATAAGTCATTAATGTCAATGTATGAAAGAAGAAATGAGTAAAATCTGCACTGTCTTAAAGGGATCCTTAAATAGGATAATCTTCAACTTTTACATCAAATCTTGAAATATTAAAATTAAAAAGTATCCTTTGATCACAAAAGCTAATATTAGGACAAATGTGAAGGCATTATATTCACCTCATAAGTAGTTACATTTTACATTTTACTTATGTAAAAAATTACATTTTACATAAGTAAAACATTCTGTTTTAAGCAAAAAACACTTTTTGCTTAAAACAGAAATAGCTTTTTAAAAGTATAAATAAATTATGGCAGGTCCAGGATGTTAACAGAGAAAAGTAAGTTTGTTTAAGGTACACCCTTAATCTTTTCAAACTATCAAAATAATAGCTGTGGCTTTCACCACTGCCATTCCCTGGGCACTTCCGTGCCCCAGAAAATGTGCTAGGTGCTTCACCTATATCATTTCTAAGCTCCTAGGCTAGAGCCCATCAATCCCATGTTATCCCTATTTTTAGGTTACAACATCTCCCACTCAGAGAAGATAAGTGACTTGTAGATTGTCAAGTCAAACTTTGAAATCATATTTCTCTAGTTTCAAAGCCCAGGCTGTCTCTATCTTACCTCTGAATTACAAAATTTGAAATGATAAACTAGTGTTGTGGGAAGAGCTCTGGTCTGAGAATGCAGAAATCTGAGTTCCAACCACAGTTCTGCCATTAAATATCTGGGTGAGTTCAAAAAAGTTACACCATCTGTGTAAGACTCAGTTTACTTAATATATGTAAACTAAAGATGTTGGTCTGGAACTCCGGATGATTTCTGAAACTCTTCCAGATTCTAAATTAATCATTCTTTTAGTTTTTTGTTGTTGTTGTTTTGTCTTATTTTGTTTATGAGACAGACTTTTGCTCTCATTGCCCAGGCTGGAGTGCAGTGGTGCCATCTCAGCTCATTGCCACCTCTGCCTGCTGGTTCAAGCGATTCTCCTGCCTCAGCTTCCGGAGTAGCTGGGATTACAGGCATTTGCCAGCATTTCTGGTTAATTTTGTATTTTTAGTAGAGACATGGTTTCTCCATGTTGGTCAGGCTGCTCTCAAACTCCTGACTTCAGGTGATCCACCCACCTCGGCCTCCCAAAGTGCTGGGATTACAGGCATGAACCACACCACCACACCCAGCCTCTTTCAATTTTAATGTTATTAATGATGACATAAATTACTGGGTTTGTTACATAAAGGGTCTTGTACTTCAGAATAGTAATTTCTAAGTTATTTTGTGATAGCCGGGTGAAAATAAAGTGTCCCACCTCAGAAGCAATAGCACATGTAGTAGATTAATAGAAAAGAAAATCTATCTACAAGAATAGCTGTGCCATATAATGTTCTGTATATCTATCACTATAGTTCTAAAACCCAATTTTTTTTTTTTTTTTGAACGACAGCATCTTGCTCTGTCACCCAGGCTGGAGTGTAGTGGCCTGATCACGGCTCACTGCAACCTCTGCCTCCTGAGTTCAAGCAATTCTCCTGCCTCAGCCTCCCAAGTAGCTGGGACTACAGGCACATGCCACCACGCCTGGTGAATTTTTGTATTTTTAGTAGAGATGGGATCTCACCATGATAGCCAGG